GATGTTACCCACAACTATGCACCAATTAGCGATAACATAGCTCATGGATCTCTGAGATTAGGAGAAAAACAGCTGTGGGATAAATACCCGTAATCTGTTTTCAAAACACCTGAGTTAAACCCCTCATTTATTCCGTAGACCATGGATATTTGTTTCCTGGATGTGCGATTGAAATATGTACGTCCACACTGATCAGTAGAATCCACTAGGCAGGTCATTCAGGATGTGGAGCCCTTTTTTAGGAAGTTGGTTTTCGCATCATATAGTAGGAAGACCCTCGTGGAACATGAAAATAAGTTCAGGATTTTATAAGAGACTTTAGGAATGCTGAGAAGGGTGAAAAATTCCATTTAGAGAGTGCAATTTTTGCAATTTCGGAGTGCATGCAGTATTCGTAGCTTTGTACAGTTATATGTTCGTGGGATTTTTTTTCGGGGAATGTTCTTAGCCTAAGAAATCACAGGAAAGTGTGAATCACAACGTGCAGAAGTTGTACCTTTTTGAATAGAACGATAACCATCCTTTCATTGCATTTGTAGCATTCTTAGAAGGGCTTAGAAGAAATAACTCATTCCATGCATATTCGTGCCCCTACAAAACTTCGAGAGAAATGCCCACAAATCCACAAGACCTTCCTGATGGAAAATACAGCTATGAAGGGGGGGGGGAGGCAAAATAGAACTCCTGGGTACCGCTGCTGATGGAAGTTTTACGGCAAATATTCCGTAGAGGTCCGACAAACAGAAGCAGGCCCTCCTTCACTGCCCCCACCGTCTCCAGAATATGACGTCATCTGCCATCACCGTCGAGCTCAAGCGAGGCCTACCGTAATCGCTCCAGACTGAAGCTGCTACATAAACCCTTCAATCGGTTGACTGGTGGATAACTTAGAGGCTGTAGCTGTGACTGTGGAATACCGCTTTTGAGAAGCTCTCTATGGAAAATTCTTCTAGGTCGCCGGGATAAAAGGCTATGAGAAGTGATTGAGGTGTTCACTAGCAATCCCACCTCCTCCCCCTGCTCCAAGGCATTTCTAATGAATAGCGAAAAACGTTCACTTTTCTCTGGTTGGCAAGGGTGTTATTTGAGAACGAATTTCTCGTTTTCCCGGCGTTTCACCACTGCGGGTGTAGGGAAGAAAATCGTAAAGGGGAGCCTACTCCGAGTAGGAAGGGTCCGCTTTCAAAATTTCTCCCAACGTGAGGGCTAACTCTGACCTCGGCATGTGAGCAAGCCAACGAACATTGAAGGTTACCGTAACTCGCGCGGTTGTGAGCCAACTCCCTGGGGACGGAAGATTTCTACAATTCGATTAGCAGTGCATTGCGTCGTACTCCTCCAACACCGTATGATTAGCGAGTTCAGCAAAGTACACCTTATACTTAAAAAATAATTGGTAGTGTGAGACCTTGAATTAGCGTTTTAGCATCAAAATTACAATTCACTTTTTTACAACCCCACTTTTAAGTCGAATCGTCCATAGCAGCGTTATAAAATCTTGTACTACCTTTTTGCATAATTTATTAAGTTATTTTGATAGAGTTATGTTTTGTAAAAGCAACTAGCTTTTTTTGTATAAGCTGCACTCTGTTTTATCTGATATCGCACCTACATGTGAATACATAAATAAAATAACTATATAAATTTGATCATAGCACTCTAATCACAGGGCTACCTTAAAGCGATGTGAAAACCCACATATGGATTGGTGGCACCCCAGTCCATTCAAACGATATTCTGAAAATGATTTCACTAGCGGAATCGTCACGCTACAATTCCCAACCTTGCCCCACACGGTATTGGGAACATCACCCGAACCTGATCTGAGGCATGGTTGTATCTCCCCATCGATTTTTGCTTAGAATCAACACTTACTTCCATTTCCAACGAAATAATCGAATTCGTTGTTTTTGGATATTAAGACGTATTTGGAATGAGAGCCGGATCATCGTGATGTACTGGTGGCGCAAGGGGCTGCGTTTTAGGATAAGGCTATTTTTTGGCAGTGGATTATTTTTTCCCACAATTTCAGCGAAATGTTTCTGAAATGGATGGAAAAATGAAAAAAGAAATGAAAATTATCTGTCCTAGAAGATGTATACACTTCGGAATCCTTCTCCCATTCCCACACTCGACTAGCTTAGGAGAAAGAGTATTGCTACATAGTTCTAGTATAAAACTTGGGTGACTGCTCGATGGGAAGACTGACTCTGAGAAGAGCTCTCACATTATACGAAGTTATACGATATTGTTGTGGTATCTTTCATAAGCACGACTACGTATCCGGAACACTTATGAGGAGTATAATTTTATGTTTGGAGAGATTGGTACACGTTTACCTCAGTGAAAAGACGCACAACGTCGACTTAACGCATCGTTCCGATGCCCTATTAACGGAATCGTTCAAGGGAAAGTCGTAATAAAAAAAAGAAAATCAGAAATCACATAACTGCAGGAGAATGGAGGTCTGTGGTCAAATGGAAAGCATATGCATTCTGGAAGTCGCTGAGCTGGATTCTCAGTTATTATATGTAGTTGCGACTCATTAGAATTCGGAACTTCAGGAGGAGGGCGGACAAGGTAAAACTTCTTTGCAGACAAAGTTGCGTAGGGTGCGGATATATAATATTATAGGAGGTTTTATTGATTTCTACCGCTAAGGCTACAGGGAATCTATAAGAAATACAGGAAATGAAAGCAAAAACTTGTCCTCCACGACATTTTGCACCTTCGATATTCCTCTTCAAAACACTATCATTGTACTTGCTCCTTGGTTTTATCCGGATTCGTTATGTGAATTTCGGCTTTTTTGAATATTTGAATATTTTTTCTGTTTGGAGGAATCCAATGGTAAGCTAACGAGGAAAGGTGATAGTTTACGGGAACGATCCCACCTTTTGAATTGGGAGGGAGAATAGCTGAAGCACATTAACGTCTTTGCAAACATATATATGTACATATCGTTATATGAATACTCTTTAACATAAAGTGTGAGCAGAATTTTAATCAAAAAATTTCAGGGAAAAATTGCGGTCATAGCGACATTTAACTCAGTCTGCATGGCTGTCAAGAAAAAAAAAAGAAGAATACAGAAATGGAAGAAGAGCCTTACGCATCCTATCATCCTATCGATCCTTACCAAAAAAGATGGTCATCATTTCTTGTAAGAAGGATCGGGAACATTCAACCCACTTCGTCAAAGATTTCAAAGATTTGGGTTCTTGAAAAAAATGTTCCTAGAGAACAGTTGCTCTATCAGCTAACTTGGTCTTCTGCTTGCGAATCATTGGAACGTAGGGTGTAGTATTCAGGTGCATGTATTAAGACCGCTGAATATCACATTATCTACTTGAAATAAGTGTTTAATACACGTAAAAATGGCATAAATTAATGCAGTTCCTAATAATACACAGCGATACAACCCAAAAGATTCTACAAGTGATCTACTAAGAAATGTCCCTAGGTAGTCGCAAAGAATGGAAGGAGGTCGTTATGAAAAGATTCACCGAGCTCTGCGTGTCCCTAAGATGACTAAGAAAGGGATGTGGGGACTTCTGATAAAATCCACGATTAGTAAGGAGAAATATATTTGAATGAGGTCAGTCACATGACTTTACGGGTGTCTCTAAAGCCCGAAATACGAAAACAAAGGCGTAATTCCGTAACAACCGCGCCTGCAGAGTGTCCTTCGAGAACAAAATCCACATTCAAAGGCTGTGTATTTAGAAAATATTCGGCATCAGCAATGCTCACCGTATAAGTATGTTGCGTTGAACGGCATTCAAAACGTGGTGAGGTATTGTGAGTTATAACGAAATCATAAAATGTTAGCCCTAAATCTTGTCACTTTGAGAGGTGTGTGCTTTCAGTTTCCACCTAGTTGATGTTTGCGAACAAGTTTTGAATTGCAATGAAGTGGCAGCCGAACAATGTTCAAGTGTGGTTATACTCGTAGTTCTCATCCTGGTTATGAGAATTCACTAACCTAAAAGGTTGAAGAGACCAGTTGGCACGGACTGGCCAGGATTCTACTTCCGACCGCTGTCGTTGAGGCGCCATTTGATAGCCGCCCATATTAAAGTAGGAAGATATGTAGGTAGGGGAATTTCGATCTTGGAACTTCGGTCATTTAATCAGTGCGTCATCATCAACAAAGCTGAATTTTCGAACTCTACAGTTTTTTTTTAAGTTAAACCCATCATATATGGGACAGCCCTTAGCTCGTTTTCGAGCGTTTCATTCAACGAAAGAAAGCTTTCGAGGATCTTTCAAAATTGAGTACTCAAAAAGCACTTTTGGGACAGCGTTTGATGAGCGTTATTTCCTTATTCAATTAGTCATTGAGATTGAATGAATGAAAAGGGCTCCTTGACTTAACAACCTACCCATGACCGCTAACTAATAGTGGATTCAAAATTCAAGGCACACCCTCACGTTGAAGCTCGTGTGGTAATTTCACACTATGGTGGAAGCACCGAAGTGGAGCACTAGTTGAGAAAAAAGAGGAAACCGTCAAATTGAACAAAAGGTCAAGCTTCCTTGTCAAATGCCGTGAACGACCCTAAGAGGAAGACACTGAGGTACATAAGAGATAATGGGCGCCGAGCAGAGAAAAGACTGCGGGACAAGAGAGCATCGCAGATGAGAAACAAGGCAAGGATGTGATATCACCACCGTGGGCGTGCGCAGATCCATGAGGCACCCAAGAATATAAGTCCTAAACCCCGGGCGTGCTTCGCTGGAGAAAGCGACTTTTTTTGCAGCGGAAACTCCAGGTTCATTCATGAGCATTGGTGGACCTGAGGTCCCCCGCAGCGAAAAATGATTCGCGTTACAGAACGCAAAGAAGTCGCTCTCTGGCAACCGCACCCCAACATAAGCCCCTACTGTTTGAGCGGAGCGTGTCGAAGTGCGAAAGGGAGAGACGTTCAGTTTTCCTCCAGCGTTCTAGTCACCAGAGCTATGCGATCATCAAAACATAAGGTTAAGCTTGGGTTCAAACTTAGGCTTGTGCCAGCATTGGCTTATGCTTAAGCCTATGATTGGGCCTAGGCTCAGTTCTAAGCTTGCTTCGAGCAATGAGTGGTGTCTCAATTTTAGGTGACCTGACCTGATGGTGAGGAGGAGAACTGCAACGTCCCTGTGAAAGGGTACGACTTCTGCAGTTGCAGACCCAGCAACTACATAAACTACATAAATGATTTTTCTAACGAAAAAGGTAGCGTGATGTGCATTTGAGCTTTCAGGGGAAAACTCGAAACTACGCGGTAAAAATGAGAAGTTCCAAGCAAAAACGAATACTGCAATGAAAGTTTACCTTTCTTTGTTTCAGGCACTTTCATGGTGACCATCATAGATGAACCAATGAGATCACCTGCAATAACGCTGTATTGTATTAGAGAAAGGAAAACTGAGGAAGGACAAAAGAATATGCCAATTTGATTTCCCCCTTGTGAATTTCCATGGGATTATTCAATGCTCATTCTACAGTCTTTGGTGAAAACCAGGAAACAAAAATGGTTTTCGGGCAAGTTGGAGGTACCTAAGACAGGCGCCTCCACGAACTCACTTTTAGCATCCTTTTGAGGTCGTGGACTGTCTGGCGGCACTGTAGGAGGCGCCAGATGGCTGTGTCGAACGGTCAAATCCGTCTGAAATTTGTTACGTTTACTGTCATTTTGCAAAGTTGATCTATAGTGCTCTCTGATTTCCTCGGAGTCAAGGGAACCAGAAGAGCGTGTCCAGCCGGAGAGATAACGAGCTCACTTCTTTCGAATCCTGTCGGAAGGCCATTTGTCGGACTAAACTCGGTCTGCGCACTCCCAACATGACATCTTTTTGCACTTACACGAAAATTATCTGAACGTATAAGTGATGAAGATAGCATAACATCCGCTACGTAATTCCTCGAGAGAAGAAGACCAGCGAGTCTTAGAACTAGAAGATGTTATTTAGATGTCCAAAAAATTATATAAATAGTACTATATATATATTCGATTGAAAATCAAAGGAGTAAGAGTAGCGAAGTGCCGCAATCGCCGATAGTCAAAGATGTTTAATGAGAGCCAATAACTAATAACACGCACTTCATATCTCAGAGCCCAGTTGCTCCTTTTTAAGTGTCTCCGCATTGGAGCACCACTCATAGGATTTGTACCGTGTCCGTCCTTTGAGAGAGTCGTGGCTACTCAGTGGCTCATGCTGTTCACCCAAGAATGGGTCACGAGAATGAACGGCTGAATTCAGTGTTTATCCATGGACCGCCAAGAATGGGTCACAAGAATGAACGGCTGAATTCATGTTATGAGCATGGACGCTGCGTGTGATAAATCTGTCACAGTATCTAGTACTATGCACTCGTAGATGCGCTACAATAATTCCTCAGATAACAAATCAGCTATAAATCGGACCACCCACAAGCGGGAAATTATCATACACCAATTAGTCGTAATCGTTGATGCCTATCCTAGTAAAGCACAGAATTAGAATGTTCTTTAATTTTCTCCTTAACGCCATCCGGATGTTTGGCTCCATTCTGCAAGTCTAGCGGTAATTAATTGGAAAGCCATTTCGTTTGCCGCTCGCGAAGAATGGCGAGTTTGAAAAACCGGGAGTCTGATAATTCTACGTGAGCGACCTGGACTGCGCCTCCAATGCTGGGGTCATATTGCAGTGCGTTGCGTTGCTCCCTCGACTCAGTTTTTCACTTTAACTCATGAACCAGAATGCTGACTAACACTGGGTTGCCCTAACATTCCTCCCTCCAGGTTTGCAAAGCCGGAATTTGAGCGGAACGAATTACCTGCACTAGTGACCCTTTACTGTACCAACCACTTTCTTAGTATTAAGGCGAAATTATCCAATATTTACCTCTTCGTTCAATCTAGCTAAAATTTTGAGCTTAGGGGTCACTCATTTAGTGAAAGAGCGTTTGGTTCATACGCCACAAGCGCCAGCGTTATCACACTTATTTGGCGCAGACAGCTGTGGACGCATGTTCTGAACACTTTGACGACGAACGAGGCGATGTTAGTGTTCCGCGAGTCAGTCTACCACTCATGCTGGGTAATCAGCAAACTTGGTTACCCAACGTGCCTTGGCGCCCTTGGCGCGGTTGCCCTTCCCTTTAGCGTCAAACAGATGCCATAGTCGTGCTGCATTACTCTCCCGCGTAGGATAATTTCTAGCCAAGGAGGACAAATTTCGAAAATAATCCATCCCCAATCCTTTGGAATGGCGCAGTGAATGGCAAGCAGTTTAAAATAAATGTTCGATAATTATTTGGTAGGAAACGTAATTGAACGGGTGGGCCAAGTAAAACTTGAGTCAGCAGGTATTTTTTATTTCAGTTCTTGAATACTTAAAGATAGGTAGGTGTTTTGTTTGTGAGAACTCTGGACTGGCCTTATTCTCTTGCATGGCACAGGACAGAAACAGCTATTGCGAAGGTTACTTTTTATGAGATGGTGAATTGATAGAAAATGATAATATCTCTCGAGAAGTGTAGTTCTTTGCTTTATATGGCCTCCGAGCCGCTACTTATCGATAGCATCGGCCTTCATTTGATTAAGAATGTACTGAGCTGAGCCATCCGACAGATTTTTTATGCCAAGGGTTACTTAATGCGATCTGGAGATTACTATCGTTGGCACAAACTTATTCACTTTTTTGTACAAGGGTGGAGCATAGATATGGCGATAAGCAATAGTGGCCCATTTCCCGTCAGATAGTCAAAACAATAGTAGATCATTCATAGCAGCGCTTGACTATATTTCTACGAACGACAGTTAAAAATTTTTCATTCGATAACACACCTCGAGTTATGGGAATGAGCTGACCATCATTTTGTGCGGCATGGAGTGTTACAAACTGCTGCCTCATCACGCGTATGTCCACAAATTTCATTCCCGTAGACGGCACACCATCCTGTCGCTTATTCGAGTCTATACGTATGAATGACGTAATTGACGATTCTCGCTTGTAATTCTATCCCTGACCTCCTGATTTAAACGAAGATTCTCATGATAAGAACCCTGAGGTGAAGAAGGGGAATTTATAATAGTGTATGAAGGAGCAGGCGATCCCTGCAAGGGTGGGGACCGATCGAATTCTCGCCGGAAAGGATTACCTCATGCGACTAAGCATGTCCTGCCCCCTCGTACGGGCTGTCTGCGCGACGCACTACCACCTACTAGCCACTCCATCATCATTTCTCTATGACCGTTTACCGAGATCGGACGGTAAGCGTTGATGTGAGTGCCGATGAATCTTCACCAATGCGCAAACCTAATGGGCCACGGAGTGGTCCACTTATCGGGTCTTCGCCGCTTCCCTTATGGGTTTTTCTTCATCCCCGGTAACACTCGACTCTTGAATTCAGTCTGCTGGCCTTCTGATTAGCTCCGCCCTGAGTTTTACTTATCGTTCCTGAGAACGTAAATCAAAGTACGCAAGTACGCCTCTAATTGGTTTGCTTCTTCGGAAGGTCAACTTTGGGTTCGAAAGTTTTGTTTTCTGTGGAGCTACTCCACTATTTTCTATAAAATTTCGACTTTCAACAGAGCACCGTTTACAATCCACGTTACTTCCACATTTTCCTTGCTTTTCCTTCACTATCCTACAGAATGGGTCATTTTGTACCATTTGAGTACTCCCTCCCGACTGCGCACAACTTATGCTATACGAAGTTATTACGCCTTATATTTCTCCCCAATTTTCTCTTGCACCTCTCCAAATTGCAGTAGATGCCCTTTTTAACAATGCTCAATCCCGACATTTAACTGCAGTGACTGCTCGACCTCTTCTAGGGAGACAATTAGGCTATGCTTAGCTTCGGAATCAATACGACAGTTGTCTGCTAATATGACATACTCTTGAACAAGCTCGGCCCTACCCGCTTTCAGACGTCTAACAATGTCTGCTAGAATATGACATATCTTGGAACAAGCTCGGCCCACCTCGCTTCTGGCCAAAATTTTCGTTGGTTTTGATAAGGAGAAACCGATAATCGTGTAAAGGATATGGATCTATGAAATTTGAGAATTACTTAAAAAAATCTTTGACAAATCCGGTGATTCGGTCAGAGCTCTTTGCTCGCTGATGCGTGACTGCGTTTCGTGAAGCTCATTCCAGTCACCATATTGCTCCACCTAGAGATTCCCGCGTCCGAAACGAAATCGCCCAGAACTGAAGGAATTCCCATAGAACCAAAGGGTGAAGCAATGTAGGCGCCCTATACATAGATTACATTGTAGCAGCATATTTTATAGCGTTATTACTACAGTAATGATGTCAAGCTATCAGCAATGATAGAGGTTTTTTCAGGGACGCAAGGTGTTGGTGATTGAAATAGCCAATCTATCACAGGCTTAGTCAACTTTTATGATGCTGCCTATCACTGCATGGATAGGGCAAGTATGAAAGGGCTACTAGAAATCGAGCCAAGCCTCTATTTTGGCCAGTTATGGGGTACATTGTGATAACCTACCACAATACCACACTTAAAGGCACGAATCGGGATCGGGTTGGTGTGTTATTTTGTTGGAAAATTTGACAAGAAGGATGAGGAATGTAGTGGGAAGAAAAGCAAAAAGCACCATAGAAAACACTGAAATTCCTTGTGAGGTCGGCCGTGGTATGACGGAGAGACACAGCGCTGCGAGGAGAGGGAAAACGCGAGAGAGCACGTCGTACGCGAGAGGGCGCAGACGCCACGTATGCCGCGATTGATAAGGGTGGCAGCACGGCAGAACGCATGGCTTTGCGTATTTGCCGCGCACTTTTTGCCGCTGCAATGTCTTGCCTCAGCGCTTGGAAACCCCATTTTCTCATTCTGGTAGGTTCTACTTCTTGGCCCCTAGTCCCGACCCTTGGCCTTAAATCCCTGCAGATTGTCCAAAATCAAATGGAATCACTTTGAGACCAACTTATACCAACAATCAGTATCAGGGGGAAGACGTGAGAGGTCCTTACCTCTTCTTCAAAAACTGAGCCTTGAAAAAGATTAAAATTCAGATCGTTTTAGTGAACAACTTTGATAATAGTCCAGCTACAATTATCTTGTCTTATAAAGGTACAGTTCAGGAAGTAAAGTGAGGTTAGTGGAAGTGAAATAAAATCAGTCAGTCAGATATAGTTCAAGTGAAGTAAAACCTTGTAAAACTCAGAAAGAATTACTGACCAACTAAGAGCCCTATAAGTCTTCCGGATAATTCAATTCAGTCAGAAGCCATGTGGAAGACCTTTGAAAGATCAACGAAGAAGGCGATAGCTTTGCCAAAGAGCTGAGCAAAGAAAAACATTCGTT